CCAAGCCATGGTATTTTCAATAACCTCATATGCATGTGAAAGCTGGACAGTGAATAAGGAAGACCGTAGAAGAATTGATGCTTTTGAGTTATGGTGTTAGAGGAGAATATTGAAAGTGCCATCGGCTGCCAAAAGAACCAATAGATGTGTTTTGGAAGAAGTGCAGCTAGAGTGCTCCTTGGAGGCCAAGATGGCCAAACTATGTCTCTCATACTTTGGACATATTGTCAGGAGGGACCAGTCCTTTTAGAAGGATATCATGTTTGGTAAGTGGAAGGTCAGAGAAAAAGAGGAAAACTCCCAACGAGATGGATTGGTCAAGTGGCAGCATCGATGGACCCAAGCATGGCAACAATAGTGAGGTTGGCCCAGGATTGGGCAGTGTTTCATTTTGCTCTGCATAAGGTTGCTATAGGTCAGTACCGACATGATGGCACCTAACAACAACATCCTTATTCACTATAGTCCCAAATTGGGAATGTGTCAAATGAATTTAACAGTAGAATGGCTAAATAGTGATATATTCAAACAATGAAATCCTACACATCAATGTTACTTTCCACTTGTGGGTCAGAACTGGCTCAATGACACTTAACAACAACAACCTGTAGAGTGAACGGTAGAGCAATAGACTAGTTAAATGATAAATGATATCAGACAAATTAAGAATACCAAAGAAATACGATAAAAAGTTGTATTATCTTTGTAACTGCAGTTTTACATTATAATCAAAAAGGAAAAAAATAAATTAAATAATTAAAACAAAAAAATACTTCATAAAACAGTAGCATTTTAAACCTTATAAATGTTTATTATGCTACATTGCCTGGTAAAATCAAGCTATTTTACCACTCAGCATCACAAGCACTTGCAATTGCTCAATGTCTTAAAATATATTGTCATCAGAAACTATTCTTCTTTGACTTTACTTACTCAATGTATTGTTGTCTGTGTGAATACCTTGTATAACAGATGTTCTGAGTAACAATTCAACATCGGAACCAATTTTCATCAACTGTTAAGAAAACCAAACAAATAGAACGGATTCAGCAGGGTTTTTTTCAGTGGTTCATAAGAATGTACTATGAAAATTACACGCTTACAACAATTTCTTTTTGGCTATACTGTCTTTGATTTTTAATAACCATTCTAAGCAGAATAGGAAGCACAGATGTGCATGTAGGTTTAACTTTTATCCATTCATTCCTATGTTGCTCTAAAAAATATTTAGGGTATATTTTGTTGTGATGTGTATTTTACAATGATTTCAAGTTGCACAGTTTGTTTGCTTTTTGTTGGGGGGAGTGGGGAGGAGTGGTGAATCTTTCATTTGTAGAGTAGGATGTTCCAAACACTGGAAAGTGTATTACACAGGATTCAATACTCTTGGGTTCCAACTTTGGCTCTGTTATTAAGTGATGGCCTTGAGTTAATCACCTACTCTTTGAGTGTTAGAGCTCATCTAATGTAAAGTGAAGTGTTGGAGTAGAATGAACTATCAAAGCCATGGACACCATAGCTATTAAGAGTCCTCAATTTTTAAAAACATAAAGACATTTTGAGAGGAGACAAAAAAAAATGTAAGAAGTACTGATCTATAACAGTCTAAGATTCCTTTTAGTGCCAAGACTTCATGAATCTTCTAATCTACGACATTGTCACTATCTAAAAACTACTACAGGTATGCATTGCTTAATGTCTGTTTGGACAACATCTGATCACATATACATCCGTGACCCCAGGTTTATTATATACTTGAGCAAAGGTTTACAGAAGTTAGTTTCACATTCAATAAACTATACACTTCATGTCATTACAATGATTGTATTCCCTTGCATGGACCATCAGTTAACAGTTTTTAACTTCTATTCACTTGAACTCCTCCCAGTGTATTCCACTACCTTCAGATTTCCTGTGTCAACCTCCCTCTTATCGTATACTGCCTTCCATAGCACCCAAGTTAACATGTGTGGTGTGGCGCTGTGGTTTAATGCGTTGGACTGCAAAGTCGTTTTGGACTACAAGGTTGGTGGTTCTAGCTCACCAGCTGTTCCTTGGAAACCATACAGGGTCATTAAGAGTCAGAACTGACTTGATGGCACTTAACAACAGCAACCCTCTACCCAGTGAGTAATTTTCCTTTCCTCCCACCCTGGTAATCATTATAGGATGTTTCTTTTAGCAAGAAAATATTTTTTTAATTTTTTACAAAAGTGGTCTCACAATATTTGTAATTTTGTGATTGACTAATTTCACTCAGCATAATGTCTTCCAGGTTCATCCATGTTATTAGGTGTTTTGCAGACTCATCATATTCTTCAACATTGTGTAGTATTTCACTGTGTGTATGTACCAAAGTTTGTATCCACCATTCTGCTCCTCTGTCCTCTTGAGAGAGCATTCAAATCCATTTAAATTCAGTGTAATTACTGATAGGAACGAATTGATTGCTATCATTTTGCTGCATGTCTTGTTTGTGGTTTTGCTAGTTTCTCTGTTCCACATAATTTTTTGCACTGAGATAATTTTGTTGTGAGGTTTTGTCTCGTTTTCTTCACTGCTGTTGTTTTAATGCTTACTAAATCTTTTTGATTTTCTTCTTTTTCATTTTGATGTGAAGGAGTATTAACTTTCTTTGAGGTTGCCCTGTAATTTATTAATATTTTTTACCTGTTTAAAAGTCTGTTTTATCTCCAAATTTACTTGACTTTCTCCCCTTTTTGAAGTTCTATATCTATACTGAACCTTTTTTTTTTTTTTGCTTTGTAGCTGACTTCATTATAAATTGATATCTCTGTTTCCCTATCTTCAGTCTTGTAAGTTTGTTTTGGAGTCCTGGTGTGGTACTATAGGATAAGCACTGGGCCACAAGGTCGGTTTGCACTGCAAGGTCAGTGGTTCAAACTTACCAGCTGCTCTTCCGAAACCCTATACAGGGTGCTATGACTTGTAACTGACTCTATGGCACTTAATAACAGGGCTAGTTTTACTTTATATCTGAATTAAGATCTAGGAGTTGTTGTCATGTATGCCATTGTTGGTTCCCAGTTCATAGAACACCCGTTATTATTTTTTGTAAAGTTGGTCTGGTTGTTACAAATTCCTTTCATTTGTTTTTATCAGAAAATGTCCTAATTTTGCGATTACCTTTCAGGGACAGCTTTACTGGATACATGACTCTTTGTTGACAATCTTTTTCTTTCACAGTTTTGTATATGTAATCCCATTGCCTTCTTGTTTGCAGAGTTTCTGCTGAGAAATCAGAGTTTAGCCTTATTGGTTCTCCTTTGTTTTTCCTGAGCTGCTCTCAGGATTCTTTTCTTGTTTTAGGTTTTGAAAAGTTTGATTATGACATGTCTTGGTGATTTTCTTTTGGGGTCTGTTTAGCTTCTTGAAAGGTTATCTTCTCATCTTTCATGATGTTAGGGAAGGTTTCTTCCAGCAACTCTTTGACAAATTTTCCCATGCTTTCTATTGTCTCTTCCTGTTCTGGAATTCCAACCACCAATAAGTTATTCCTCTTCATGGTGCCCCACATGAATCTCAGGCTTTCTTCTGATTCTTTCTTTCTTTTTTTTTTCAAGATTGTTCTTCTAGCTTACTCCTATTGAGAGATTTATCTTCAAGGTCACTCATTTAGGCTTCCATTCATTCAAACAGACTCCTTTCTCCTTTCAATATATTGCCCATTTCTGAGATCTTAGCATTAATCTTATGGATTTCTATTTTCTGATTTTGTATTGTTTCAAAATTTGCATTTATTTTGTTCATGTTATGTTTTCCTAAATTATTCTAAGTTTTTTTATGTGTTCTCCTTGCTTTCTTTGATCTGTCAATCTGTTGAATGCACCTAAATATTACTCATTTGAATTCTTTCTCAGACAGTTTCATTACCTTTTCTTCCTCAGAAACATTTTCTGGCTCTGCATTTTGGTGATTTGTTTCTTTGTGTGAGCTAAAATTTTCTGTCTTCTCCAAGACATTGTGGTGTTATTGTATTTGTATTTAACTGATGACTGTATGTTAGCATGTTCTTAAGCTCTCACCAGGTAGGGCTAAAGTAGAAAAAACACACACAGAAAAATAGAATAAACAAATAAACAACAGAGAAAACAGAATATAATAAAAGAGAAAAAAGAAATAAAAATAGGCAACAACAAGAAAAAAGAATAACTAAAAAGAGAAAAGAAGGACAAGAAAACTGAGCCATACAAGAGAAACATAAGTGAAAAAATGAATAGGAAAAAAACTAAAAACTAAAAAAAAAAACAGAGAGAGGGATGACAGAAAGAAAAATAGAGGAGAGAGAGGTAAAGAAAAATCAAGAGTTAAAAAAGGAGATGAGGGTGAAAATAAGAAACAGAAAAGAAGAAAATAAAGATAGAAAGGATGAAAGTCAAGGGAAGGGAAAGAGAGGAAGAAGAATTAACAAACAAAAATGAAACAATGACAGGAAAAATATACTAACAAACAAAAACCAATATAGTTATTAGACCCAAAGTGGAGAAAATTCTGGGGTGCTCCTGTGGGCCAAACAATGCAAAAGGTGGGTGGAGGTGGGATGTGATAACTGAGTCCCCAGCTCTAGATAGAGTTCCTAGAGATCTAGATGTTGTCTATACTCAGGCAGCCAATCAAGAAGTAGTTTCAGTGCCTGTCAGAACCCCAGAGTAGCTGGGGGCAGGGTGGCAAATTACTAAGGCTCCTGCTAGTCTAATTCTGCCCTGGAGGCTCTAGATTTTATAGATCTGGGGCAAAGCCTGCCTAAATCCAGGTGCCAAGGCAGCACAGTAGGCACCTGCCTCAAACTGGCTCAAACTGCACAGCTCAAAACTCCTGGAGAACAGGGTCTATGTTGGGAGTGAATGAGGGTGGGGGCTGGCATCACTTGTGTTATCCAGGGCAGTATGGAGAGTAAGAAGGAATCCCACCTTTTATGTCACTTGTGTGAATCTATGCTGTGAGACTGCCATCTGTTTGTCTCTGCAAAGCTGCTTGAGTAAGTTCATTAATGCAGTGCCGCTTCTAGCTGGCAGTCAGTCTCCATCTTTGTGGCCCGTGCTCAGCTTCTCCTATAAGTAGGTATTCAATCCACTTCTCTGACTTTTCCTCTGAAGTCAGGGTTGGTTTCAGGATTGTCCTCTATGCCTTGTACTTTTGTTGTAGAGGGTCTATATAGTGTGTCTGCTTAGTCTGCCATCTTGCTGGAAGTTTCCTTGGTTTTTATTTTCAAAGGGAAAGCAGCTCTCCTTTTGTTTATTATTTTCCCATAGTGATTTTAAAGACCCTAGATCCAGCAGTAACAAGGACGAGTGGATGCAGACTCCCATAAGGTTTTAATAGAGTGTTTACACATGTCCAAATCATATATTATCATTTTAATTCCTGTCATGAACTAATGATCTATTCCCTGTTTACTCTATCACATAGTCATAGAGTGAAATTTCATTTTGTCTCATTAGCTCAATATACAGTTGTTTTAAAAAGTATTGTCCTTTACTAAGTATAAATGCATTTTCATAAGATTTTCTTAACATGTGAAAATTTTATTAAGCATGGATTAGTTTCTCCAATTTGTACCTTCCTCCTTATCCAACCAAAATTTGGAATCATAACTACTTCATGTAAGTAACTTTCTGGCTTTTATTTTCTTCCTAAGGGTCCTTTCCTACCTTTATCGGAAGTTAGTACAGAAGCTGGAAACAGAAACAATGTGCCTATGCAGTACGATTTTAAACAGGAAAAGATTTGCACATTTTTTCAAAAGCATAGTAATGGGAGTACTAGCAGCTCAAGAGTAGTGCTAGCAAACCGTCTTCAACTAGTGCAAGTGACCACAAATGCAAACATAGAAAGCAAAGCAAGAATAGTCCATAAAGTGTTTGAGGATAAGAAAGAAATGGG